TCTTCGTTGTCCATGACGACGACAAACTGGCCCTTCTTGAGGCCTTCAAGGGCTTCGGCGACGGTCGATGTGCCAAGGTTCGCGCTGTAGGCTAGTTCAGAGGCGTGCACTTAGCACGGTCCTAGTATACATGCTAGCACTTACGAGTGGACATGGCGGCAGAAAATGCGCAAATGAACTTCCGGGGATCCTTGGCCGCCAAAGGTTGATGCAAACACTTTGTGGGCAATGGCCAATCCCACGCCAGCATTCAACCCATTGGCCAATCAGATGCAAGTGGTACCCGCATCCACCAATCAAACGCGTCGGCAAACTCGCGTGTCGCAGATGGGGGTGCCACCTCGGGATGGTATTTTAATTATAGGCATGTTTGCGTGCTGATATAGATGGTTGTATTTAGATTAAAACCGCGTAAAATAAAATAAAGGATGACTCATCGCGACCTTCGCCGAACTTCGGGAAAGGCGCCGCCCCACGTGGCGATGCCGGAAGGAAGTGCTTGTGAGGGCTCGCGAAATCGGCTCGTGTCGGAAACCTATCAAGAGAGATAAGATTGGCATCGCTGTCAAGAAGGGAGTAAACTTATAGTAGATTCCCTTGTGTCTCACCAGTCACGGAGGAAGCATCCACTGCAGCTTGGAGAACGCAAGATCACGCGACGATCGAGCGAGGGTGCGATGGGAATGATTGCGGAGCGACCAAGCCTGCTAGAATGCAGGACAATGAATAGCAACGTACACGCTCGAGCTACAGTATATCGATGCACGAGGGAGTCGCTTTGCGCGGCTGTGGAGTAGCCTCGACCACCAAGGCCAAGTATCTAATTTATGTGATTGGTGTCCCACTCGTCAAGTATCTCGTCGCCATACACGCTTTCAAGTACGATTAGCGTCACAGTGCTCATCACCTGTACTCGAGTCGGCAGGGCGCATTGGTCCATGCCCATGGTCTCTCCTCAGCAGGTGCAACCCTTACAAGGCAAGACACAAGGAAAGAAAGGTTGAGATTTTTAGAGTCCCATGAGCTTGCGACCAGGATGCGCCTTGTGAACGATCGTCGACAGCTCTTGCGCGGCAAGGGCGATGGCCGAGTGCGTGGACGGCGCTGCAAACGGTCCGCGGTCCACCTTGCAAAATGTTGTTGTCGGAAGGACGCCATGGGAAAAGTACGCGGTGACAATGTCGTGAACGCACGCGCTGGGCTGTGACGTAGACGCAATGTGGCCGTAGCCGTCGCGCACCACCAAGACCGAGTTGTTGGCGCCAAAGACGTTGTGCATGTGCTGAGCAGCGACCAAGGGTGTTACCGGGTCGTGGACGTTGTTCAAAATCAAAATCTTGTTGGCCAGCGTCTGGTTCCAAGGACCCGCAAACCGCTCGATCGATGTCGTCTTCCAGTACTTGGTCATCATAAGGGTCCCGAGCCACGGCCCACCAAAGATCGGCGAGATTTTCTGGGCGGCGCGAAGACCGTCGGCCCAGCTCTGCGCCGTGTTGGTCGTCGAATCGATGTCGTTGCCCATGAATGGGATCCTGTTCAAACCGAGATCGCGCGCCTTGAGCTGCGACGGACACACATCGCTTGCTGGTGGTGCCACGTACGTGCCTTGCATGAGCTGGTACAAGTCGATCGCGAGCTTAGGCCACATCGCAGGCTGGTACATGGGTCCCAAGAGAAGTGTGTACAGGTCCGTGGATGTAAACTGAGCAACATCGTACCCACCACGGACGACTTTGGGCGTAAAATTTTGGATAAACGACCGCAGACGCGGCGCAAGTGGCGTGCCATGGCCCGCGAGAGGACAGACGAGCGGCCCCGCGACTTCGCACTCGGCCGCAAAACCATCCAAAACGTCTTCAATGTTGGCGATCGTAGTTGCCCAAAACGACGCGCTTGCAATTGAATACTTGGTCGCGTCGACGACCGAGTCGATGACGAAGCGACCGACGCGATGCGGAAACATATTGGCGTACGTCGCGCCGAGTACCCTAGTAAGATGTACAATACTGTCCTCTTCAGTAAAGACTGAAAGTGTCGTACGTGCCGTAGGAGAAGCCAAAATAGTGCATATGATCTTGGCCCAGTGCCGCGCGAATGAGGTCCATGTCCCGTGCCACGAATGCCGTCGAGAGGTACGGGAGGTAGTCGCCGTCGTAGTGGCGGCAGCGCGCCATGGCTTGGTCGTACACGCTACCGTATCGATCGATTTGGTCGTCGGAAAGTGGGTCATAGAACACACCACTTGAGGTGAAGAGACGATACTGACCCACCCACGCCGCAAAGCCGTCCTTGGCGCAGTGGATTGGCCGCGACTGGCCAACGCCACGCGGATCAAAACCCAAAACGTCGTACTGGCCGCCCGTGAGGAAGGTGGCCACTGGCGACCCCAGGGCCGTGCCAGACCCGCCGGGACCACCGGGGTTGAGAAGAATCGTACCGAGCGGTTTGGCCGCAGTTGACCGGTAGCGCTGGACGACAATGTCGATGGTGGCCTTGTTGGTCACGTTGAGATGATCGAGGGGTACGGTGAGGTAGCCGCACTGCGTGCGGAGATCCGGGTTTCCCGCGCAGGGCCCCCAGTGGAACGGATCGGCCGATGCAGCAGCAAGTGCCATGACGGCGCTTACAACGATGGCTTTGACCATGACAGCGGAAGGGCAAACTCGCAATGACCACAGATGCATCGCTGTCTTGCGCAGGTCGTCGTTTTTGGAATGTAGGTGAGAACGACATGCATTCCGATTTGATCAGAATCCAGGTTGTCGACCGCGATCAGGGGACATAACCGCCATTGGCTGGGGGTATAAATGTAGTACATGTATGCGCGTGGTTTGGGATGTCCGTGGTACGCAGACGCTTCGTATTCTAGACAAGCAAGGTCGAGTTGTCTACCGGCTCTCCCTTTGACAAGGTCACTCATTAATGGCACAACTACTTCATGATCAAGGCACCACTCACTACCTTGGAGCGCCTCCTCTGCGCTGACCGCATTGATGGTCGCAGCTGCGTGGCATGGGCAGTGACGTCAGAAATCAAAAAGAGTTGTCAGGTAGCGCTTCCTCGCCTCAATTCCGAGTGCCACTCGGTATTGAAAAATGATTGTGCACGACCAAGGCATTATTGTGCTGGACCAAACGATCAATTTTGACATGTGTTTATAAATCTACGGCCAAGAGGCTTTAAAATCCAGTGGGCATAGCTTTTACATCCGTATTGACGGATAGAAGCTAGGCCCACTGGATTTTTTGGAATATTTTGCCTGGTCACAGGCAAAATGTGGCAGAGCTCGTCATTCACGGTGCGTTCTCATCCATTATGTTTATGTTGGGTCTGCGCATTCAAGCGAAAAAAAGACAGTGCGCTCATCCAGACCACGTGCACTCGTATTGAGTTGGGACGTAGAGGGCACGTGTCCTGTCCGAAACAACGCTTGCTCCAGTGCAAAATCATCGTACTACTGGGTCGACGCCACATTAACATCTTGCATATCGCCTCTCGAAGACGGATGCGCCATAGACCACGAGTGCCCTACATAGACTACTTGTATGTCCTATAATTTCAAAAGTCAAAGCCACGCAAACCGTTCGACTACAAAGCTATCAGCGGCTGCGCAAATCGATGTCCTGATGCGCAAAGCAATTGGATAAGGGACTGCGGCCGTTGCTTATCGCCGCGCTCAGACACACGGCAAAGCTCAAACAGGGTGCTAGCAACAAATAGTCTCTTTATCTTCTATTGCGCCGCACTGTCAAAAAGAGTGGGGTGATGATGGAAAGACTGTCTGAGAAATCAACCAGTCTCTTCGTGAACGCGCTTGCATCGGTATCATCTCCAAGTCGTCGTATCTTGATGGGCTTGCGGCCAATCACTGAACAAATGGACGCGGATACCATTGTTTCGTCCTCACGACTACACGCAAAGCACAAATTAGCACCCACCGTCGTCAATCCGTTTTTGCTTTGCTCACAATTCAATTTGCCAGCATCCTCCTTCGACGATGGCACGCCTGCTCACGCTTGCAACGGTGCTCGCCTCGGCTCTGTCGGCCGACCCCTTCAACTGGCGCCCATGCCCCGGGGTGGCCGACCCCCAGGTGCAATGCGGGTCACTCGACGTGCCCCTCAACTACAAGGATCCGTCCAACCCGGCTACGATTGCGATTGCAGTGCGTCGGTACCGGTCCAGTGCTGCGACACCCCTCGGTACGATTCTCGTCAACCCTGGGGGGCCCGGGGTGGGCGGGTCCCAATTTTGCCAACG